GATTTTAACCTGAACAGAATTTCCAATAAAAATCCAACATAAAGTGTCCTCTTTCCTTTAAAGGTGGGTCCTTTCACAATCCTTTCCGGTGTGGCTTCAATCACGTTCCTTCCAGCCTTGTGCTCTCTGTCCCCCCTGCCCTCTTTGTTCTGCTCCACATGTTTCTCAGTCCTGCTGCAATCAGGTGACTTAAGCACCTGCACTGCACCTGTCTGAGCAGTGAGGCACTCTGGGAGTTGGAGTGTTTGCTGCGGTGGCCATTTTAGGATGGAGCAGCTGCAATCTGGGAGAGGTAGTTGTTGCCCCGGTGGCCATTTTGTGATGTGGCAGCTGTTCCTGTATGGGAATGTAGCGTCCCTCTACTACCTGTCCCCTTGTGATGCCACAATAGCTAATTTCCTCCTTCATGACAACTGTGCACGGGGTAAATTTTTATATAACTCACCTTTTTACATTTTATTAAGGCTTAAAGTTATGGAGAATTGAGGGTGTGCTGCTTTGAGTGACAGGTGGGTAAGCATATGCCTGCCACAAGCCGGCATGCACCGAATCTCGGCTCAACATGCGCCCCTCCTCTTTGCCCACTTTTGTATTAGCCAGGTGATTGGCAGAGTCAGTTTCTGGAAAAATGGTGACGACGGAACGACCCTAAATATCAGCATCGGCCATTGAAAAACCCATATTGGGGCGTTGCATAGCGCAGTGGGTTACGCAGGCGCCCCATATATAGAGGCTACAGTCCTCACTGCAGCTGGCCCCTGGTTCGACTCCCTTTCCTGCGTGTCATTCCCCCTCTCTCTGCCTCCCCATTTCCTGTCTCTCTACTGTCCTGTACATTAAAGGCACAAAAAGCCCCAAAAAAAGAAAAACCCATATTGATCGATCATTACTGAACGCGGCCATTGAGTTTAACTTGTTCTACAACAGGTTTGACAGAGCCTCACCTGTTCTCTCTCCCACTGCTTCAGCTGCAGCTTCTCCTACAACATCTCCTTCACAACCTGACACTGCAGCTGCAACTCCCTTCACACTGGGGTCAAGTCTCCCGTCCTTTACAGCGGGAGGTGAGGGTGGAGCTCAAGAGGCTACGTCCTGGAATAGCAAAAGGCCAGGATGGTGTGTGTCCAAGGCTGTTAAAGGACTGTGCAGCCCAGCTGGCTAAGCCTCTCCAGAGGATCTTTAACTTAAGTCTACGAACAGGGAGGGTCCTGGTCCTGGTCCTGTGGAAAACATCATGTCTTGTTCTGGTACCTAAAGTAGGATGACCAGCTGAGATAAATGACTACAGACATCACACATCATGAAGACCCTGGAGCAGCTGCTTCTCCACCTTCTGGTTGAACATGCACTAGACCCCGTACAGTTCGCCTACAAGGAACACATTGGAGTGGATGATGCCGTCCATTACATGCTCCACCCATTCTTACTTGGATGAGCCAGGTGGTTACATGAGGATTATATCCCTGCCTCATGTCCTGGATTGTGGATTACCTGACAAGACGACCACAGTACGTCAGGCTGGGTAACTGTGTCTCAGGGAAAGTGATGAGCAGCACTGGAGCTCCACAGGGGACTGTTCTGATTCCATTCCAGTTCACCCTGTATACAGCGGACTTTAAATACAACTCTGAGTCCTGCCACGTCCAGAAATACTTGGGTGACACAGCTAATGTGGCGTGTATCAGGAATGGGCAGGAAGAGGAGTACAGGGATCTGACGATGGCCTTCAGTGAATGGAGCGACAAGAACTGCCTCCTTCTCAACACCTCTAAGACGAAGGAGATGGTCATCAACTTTCGGAGGTCTAGGCCCACCCTTCAGCCAGTCAACATTCGAGAGAAGGACATTGAGGTGGTGCACACTTATAAATACCTAGGTGTGCACCTGGACAGTAAACTGGACTGGTCCCTGAACACGGATGCTATCTACCAAAAGGGGCAGAGCCGGCTCTTTTTCTTCAGGAGGCTCAGGTCCTTTGACAATGGCAGTGAAATGCTACACGTTTTATCAGTGGTGGACAGTTTACTCTTTTATGCTGCAGTGTGCTTGTCCAACATGAACACAAGAAGACTGGACGAGTTGTTAAAAAAGGCTGGGTCTGTGCTTGGCAGGAGTCTGGAGTCACTCAGGACTGTTGTGGAGAGACACATGCAATGTAAGATGGAGGCCATCTTGGACAATACCAACCATCCTCTCCACAACATTCTGGCAGGACAGAGAAGCAGCTACAGCTGCAGCAAATGTCTCATCTCCTTGCATTTCCTGCCTGCAGTGTTGGACAGTGTTGTGTCAGTGGCCATTGAGTTTTGCCTCAAAATTCATCAAAGTCTATGACTTTATACAGCTGCTGCTCTATAATCATCGCTACATAGGATTTGAACACCCTGATCTCTGAACTGATCTAAATGTAAAGTCCACCCATTGAGCTTCAGGTTTACAGTCACACTGATGTTGTTGCAAGGATCTACAATAGTAATATGCTATAAGATTTTTATAAGGTTTTTATCAAAAAAAAAAATCCATAAAAAGGCATCCATATCGGAAATATGTGATAACCCCTCCTGTATGATCCACTCCACTGCTCATCTGTGTGATCAGTTTTCTCAAAACTTAATTTCGCTCCATATTTAGTGGAATTTTAATGGGACCATTTACTGTTAAATTTATAGACTGAAGCATTTTCTGGTATTGTTAAAAATACAGTGACAAGACATAGTCAGTGAACCCTGTGGAATGATCAGCTTTTTGGATGTTTTCAATAAGGACAAAAACTACACAATCATTTGTTGTTTTGAGTTCAAATATATTGCATTTGTTCATTACTGTAATTTAGATGAAGATCTGATCATATTTTTTTTTTTACTAAATAAGGGGTAAAATAAGGGATCACAAACTTTTTCTTGCCTCTGTACTACCATGATTTATGAGTAAACGTGAATCCTAAAGAGAATCCATGTGCACTCCATGTGGATCTCAGCAACCGCAGACTTTTGGAGAAATTCTTTGGAAGTGTTTTATCGTCCAGTCAATCTGGAAACTCTCTAACATGAGGAAGAATGAGCTGTCGGAGCCAAACCTCTATAATACTATGAGAATAAAGTTGGAATATTACAAGATAAATGCATCCTGTGAAGTTCTACTTGAGCAGGTTTCAAAAATAAGGAGAGACTTCATCTTTAGGCTCATCATCATCATCAGGACATTGAAGAGATTGCGAAGAGACCGAGTCCATTTTATTGTTAGACAGACAAACAGCAGCTGCCAGAAGCAGCTCAGGATACCTGACTGTCCTTTCACCTGCTTGATTGGTTGATGTAATATTCCTAAAAAATATGTTTTTTCCTTCAAAATGTTACATTTTAAATTCTCATATTACGACTTTTTTCTTTTAAAATTACAACTTTATTCTCGAAAATTTCAGATTCTTTTTTATCCATCAATGTGGCCCTAATACTCTGTTGTAGAAAACTGACTCAACTATGTTTCTACTCATCTTTGTGCTGCTTCCAGAGGTGAAAACCATTTCTTTCCCTTTGCAGTTTTTCTATGCTGAAACATCTCACCACAGACTTACTGTGAGAATTTTACTAAATACTTTTGTTTTAAGAAAAAAAATTGGAAATGTCATTAAGACCTTTAATATTTTTTCTTACCTGCCACAGATATCAAATTGTAGGTAAAAGTCACATTAGTAACTATTTGTATGTGACTGTGATGTGATGAATGTGATATAGATGTCAATAAATTCATAGATCTTATTGTGCCTGGAGCTGTCTGTCACTATTTCACTATTATCACAGTGAAAAAAGTAATAAACTATGCTTTGCGAAGTATTTGAACATCACAAAGGCAGTTTGATGAACGCAGTAGAACTTCTGATTATACAAGTGCAAAACTTCAATAATTGGTCTTGAAACCACTGTAGATCTCTGACCCTGACTGAGACTGCGACCCTCCCTCAGGCTATGCAGCACATTCTCAAACAGAATAAAAGCACAGTAAGGCCAGAGTGTGTGTGTCCTGGGACAGTTGTCCATGTTGTCTGGTTGGTAATTCAGTCTTTCAATATTCTGACATTTTTAAACCCACACTTCTTTCACACCTGTCTTGGTTTTAACAGTGAAGTTCTGTGTGAGATTAGCAAAAGGTCGAAGTTCAGAGCAGGTTTATTCAGTACAGTGTTTCCCTGAGTTCAGTCTGTCAGGCAGCACAGGACATCTACTGACTCAAACTTCCTGGACCAGTTGCTTTGTCTTACAGGTGGTTAATGGATTCTGCTGTTTGAGAGGTGATATGCAAGCTGCCTGTGAGACCTCACTCAGGACAAAATTAGGTTACATCACCTTGGATTACAAAAACATGTACAGGACAGTTCCACCATGATAACAGTTTATGATAATTTTTAATACTTTCACTCCTGTTCAGCTTAACTGTTCTGACCTGCATGCAGCACAATTAAAGAGTTTTCAAAATAAGAGTAAGACATATGAGCTTCAGAAAATGAAAACAAAAGCTTAAACTAAAATAGAAATGAAAGATCAAGAGTCAAAAATGACTAGGGCTGTCCCAAACGATTATTCTTTAAACGATTAATCTAGCGATTAATTTTCGATTATTCGACTAATCTAACGATTATTTTTTTTGCAGAGTCTGCAGACTACCGCACTGTTGGTGTCAAGATTAAAGTATTCCCAAACTTTGGAGGACCGTGTGCGAGCCTTTTTGCCGCGTGTTGCTCCACACGCGCCATCATACTGCTGGTAGACGCCGCCATGTTGTTCAAATAGATTACACAGACGCACACAGATCATTCACGTAGTCAATGACTTCAATTACGTCACCGCGTTGTCCCAGCCCTTGCGCTGCGCTTGTATCCGGGTAAACCAAAGACGATGGATATAAACGGTCCCATTAGAAAGTTCCGGTTTTGTTCTATGAACATTTACCCTGTGTGGTTTTACACGACGCGTTGACACTAAAATTCCACGTCGAATAATTTTTATAATCGACAACGTCGATTACGTCGGATCATCGTCCCAGCCCTAAAAATGACAAAAAGAAAAATGAATTAAAAGTCTATATTTTCAGTGGAAAATGCCAGGGTAGCACTGCTTTTCTGTACAACCTTTGACCTGGGATCTGATTCAAAAGAATAAATACTTACAGTACTTACAATACAGAGGGAAGACAAACATCAAAGTATTTTGAAAGGAAAAGAAAATTTAATAAAAAGGTAAAATTTATAATTATAGGAGAAAAGCTCAACAGTAAACCCACTGCTGCAGGGCTGTAATCATCACCATTATCTTCATTATCGGCTGATCACATAGTTACTTGTCCAGTTTGTCTGTTAGTTTATAAAATGTCCATCACAGTTCCCAGTGTCCAAGGTGACCTCTTCATATCCAAAACTCAAACAAATTTGGATTACAATGACATAAAACTGAATCCTCACACTGGAGATGCTACAACCATCAACATTGGGCAGGGGGCTGAAAATTGACTTAAACAATTAAGTGATTACCAAAATAGTTGCTGCTACTTTTCATTATTGAATATTGGCTATATTGGACTATTGGCTAGTGATTGACTGGTGATGTCAGAAAGTCCTCACATTGGAGGGGCGGGAACGAGCACTTTGTTGAAATTTTTAGCTTGAAACACTTTTCAAACTAAATGATCGTAACAGCACTTGCTGATTGATGTCCATTGTCGATCGATCAGTTATTTCAGCTCCAGCTCCAGCCCCTAAGGAGGTTAATCCCGGCATGTCCACTCCCCATGTTGAATAAACTCAAAGAAATCAAGCAGCAGCAAATTTAAAAAGAAAATCACACACATTCACACAGCCTGCTCATCTTCATTAGCTCATCCGCTATGTTTCTGCGCATGCTCAATGGGCCTCGTGGACACAGTGCCCGGTCGGTGCAGTGAATCGGTAATGGTGTCGTTACCGACGACCGTCCGGGTCTCGTCTCCATCAGCTCTCCGGTTTGTCCTTGTTGGGGCCCATGAACTCCACCCCGTCGATCGGAATGTCCTTCTCTTTGATGGCTTTCTGCACGCACCGCTGGTACTTCCTGAAGGTCTCCGTGCACGGGTCCCCACTACGGTCCCCCTTCAGGAACTTCTCGGCAAACCAGCGATTAAAGCACTGGTCGTATTCCCGCTTTAGGTCGGTGCACGCCTCCCCGACGCTGTTCATCTCCGATAACAACGTCAAGACACGATGGAAAAACGAAACACGGCGGCTTTAACCACTGTTTTCAAACCAGCAGCACCGTCAACAACACGCACTCTGTGTGACTCACCTTGAACCGCGGGATGTGATTGGCTGGTTGGAGAGTGACGAGTCACGACGGATCAGAGATTGTGTGTAAAGAGTAAGAAGTTATTCTGCGCAATCCCCGAAGGATCACTAACTCGCTTTCGGTTTTGAAATTTTTCTTCATGTGCAGCTTTTAGAAAAACGTGCTGCAAAGTGAGAAAACACGACAAAATACAGAAACACAACACAATACAGAAAACAACAAAATGCAGACAACAACCAAATATAGAAAACAACCAAATGGGTGAAGTTCACTGATAAATAAAACTATTCATGGCTTTATTTTGAAACCATCCCCACTTAAGTTTTCTGCCTAAATCGTCTATACAGTGCTGTAAATCAGTATAAACTACTTTATCTGTAACTTGAAACAGAGGCGGAGTGAGACCTTCTGTTGTCTTGACCTACCGCCGTGCAAAAAAAAAAAACTCGCGAGAGTATTGCGCAGCTTTCCGAAAACTCGCGGTTCTCCGAGAGTACGTGGGAGTCATTGGAGTAACCAAAATAAGCTGATATTTACATCTGTTTATAAACTAACGAGATATAGACCGCTGCAGGAATTGAGGGTAGGTAAGTAACAGTCGCTGAACTCATTGGCTAACATTCGATTGCAGCTCTTTTGGAGATATTTAGAACGTTACATCCATGCTAACTGCATTAGCGTGCTTTGCTAGGCCGGATGCCTCTGGCTGCTAGCTTAACATTAGCTGCTCAGGTTCCGTTTAATTCAAACTCCAGTAAGATGTTTTTGCTTTCTTTGCGCTGCCCCAGTCTTTCCAGAGAAACGAGATGTCTGACAGCGAGGACAGCGACTTCTCCGACAACCAGAGTGAGCGCAGCAGTGATGGAGAGGCCGAGGAAGTGGAAGAGAATGAGGTTTGCTAACTACTAGCTTTGTGTACTAACCGCTCAGTGGAGTCACGTAAACATTGTGAGTCAGTGAAGCGAGTTCAACTGCTGCAAGTGGTTAACTACACGGATATTATCTTTGAGAGGTCAAGACAAATACCAGAGATTTTATTGTTAGTTTGATCCCATAATCCATATCTATCTATTTCCGTTTTCAGGAGGAGGCGAACAGCCCCGTGGGCAGCGACAAGGTAGCCGAAGAGGAAGGGGAGGACCTGGAGGATGAGGAGGAGTATGATGAAGAGGAGGAGGAAGACGATGATGACCGTCCCAGGAAGAAGCCAAGACATGGAGGGTTCATCCTGGATGAAGCCGGTATGAACAGATGACACCCTCCTCACCTCTGTCCTCCCTCCTTGTTCCTGTCCTCAGCTCCTCACATTTGTCCTTCCTCTCACTACTGTCTCTGTTCTGTCCCCCTTCCTGCTTTTGTCTTTGTCCTCCCTCAACACTTCATTCCTCCCTCTCACTCCTGTTTCTGTTATTTCCTCTCTCCTCCCCTCTTTTCTCCCTCCTGCTCCTTTCTCTGTCCTCAGCTCCCTCACCTCTGTCCTCCCTACCGCTCCTGTGTCTGTTCTGTTCTCCCTCCTCCTCCTGTCTCTGTCCTCAGCTCCCTTACCTTTTCCGTAAGATACCTGTTGCCTCTCAGGGACGAAAGGAGCTTTAATGCATCTGTTCCTCTGTTTCTCTCCTCTCTGTCTAGATGTGGATGACGAGTATGAAGATGAGGAGGATCAGTGGGAGGAAGGAGCTGAAGATATTTTGGAGAAAGGTGAGAAACTATAACTGTACAGATATCTGTGTCAACAGCATTTTCATTTTACTCTTCAGGTGTCGTTGATTGTTTCCATCCACCCTGCTGAGACAAGCAGCCCCATAAACAGGTTTTGGCAGGTTTAGAAAACCTCAGAGTTTTGTTTTAAATCAATTGTGAAAACCCAACAATTCCAAAAATTTTTTCTTCTTTTTTTGTAACAATATAAGTTTGTAATACAAACACATGTCGTTTTAGAACCATGTGGACCACATTTGTGACCTGTAGTTTCATTTATATAAAATAATAGCAATTAAAAAGGTTACTGTAATCATTGCAATTAAATGTTTTTCCCAAATTGTGCAGCAGATATAAACACTGTTAGGGATGATTGGCTCTAATTAACAGACCATGCCATTGTTCTTGCATGTTTTGAACCATTTACTATACAAACAACATTTAACTGCTGCCCATTTTCCAATCATTTTTTTTTCTCAGGCAGCCACTGGTTTTAGTTCATTGACTCAGTTCAGTTAAAGAAAAATCCACTGGAAGAAACACATATGAGGTTCAAGGCACCTTTTTCTTTATGTTTAGAATAAACAGGTTTATTTTTTAAATATATGAGAGGGATGTTATCTTTGCTTGACAATGAGATTCAGCTGTGATTAAACCTGCACCAAAACGCAAAAAGAGCACAGCTTAATTGATACTGAAATTAGATATAATGACTGTGATGGATTAAACATATCAAGCAAAAATCTAATCTCTGTAAGCACATGAACTGAAATTACCTGAAGTTGCCCGTAAAGGGAGAAACATTACAAATGAAAACAGCTGAAACATTTTTTTGTAAACATTTAGCTGTGGTTCACCATTAATAGTTAATGAGCTAAAACATGAAAAACACCACTGTGTTCATTAAAGTTCAGCCTGCGTTTCCAAACTGTTTACAGTCTGATAACAGTCTGATTACATGTCAACACACTGCTCAGTTTACCAGCTGTCACAGTTCGGATGTGAGGAGTCTGTCTGGGAAAGAATTAGTGCCTCATATGTTGTTTCTTATCTGATCAGTCTGTGTTTGACCTCTGACCTTTGCCTTGCAGCAAAACAGCATCACATTCACAAGCTAATGGCTAATGTTAGAGGTCAGACTCTGTGATTGCTTATGAATGCAAATGGCTAATTCATTTCAATTGGCCTGTATTTTCATCTGAATTTTTAAGGGATATGTTTGGTGGGGAGTATGGTTGCCACACTTGTCTGTGTTACCAGGGTTACATGTTGTTCAGGTACACAATGATTACATAACAGATATGAAACCTGTTTGGGTCATTTTTGCGTTTCAGCAGCAGAGCCCACATTCATCAAGTCAAAATACTAGTTTTCACTACTTAAATGCATCTGCTCTGTGCAATGGCAGAGCGGAATCTCATCAGTTGACAGTGGTGGAGGATTTGGTGTCAAAACGAAAAGCAAAAGCACCTGTTTGACAATATTCCAGATTTAAACCCTATTGCAGAAAGGAACCTTGAGACGATGCGTCTTGTAAAATGTTCAGTGTAATCAGTAACAAAGGTGTTGTCACAAGCTTATTACCCAGTGAGAAAATTTCCACATTCTAACCCAACCTACAAATCATATTCTCCAGATGTAAAAGACCATGTTTGTTTGGTACAAGACCAACAAAAATCACATCATCATTTAAAAAAAAATAAAATGCAAAAATGACCATTCCAACTGAGATCGCAATATCTGCCAAAATAATTGAAATATGATTTTCTTTGCATATCATGCAGCCCTATAATATACAGATATTAAGATGACACATCTTATAAAATGTCTAGTTTAATCAGTAGCACCAGTGTTTTCACAAGTTTATGTGATCACACATGGTCACTGGAGACGCATTTTAAAGCATGTGTGAACTGATGAACTTAGAGCTGACCACTTGTGTCAGATCACAGAAGACGCATGTTATTGCAGGTCTGAACTACATGATATTCACCCTGTCACATGGCTCGACAGTCACAGGTCATTAGGAGCAAAACAGCAAAAAAGTTTTCCTCATGGCATCCTGTCTCCTCTCACTTAGAAAATCACAGTTATGATCAAACTGAAACATGGAAAGTCGTCCGATTTCTAGTTTTCTTTCACTGCATAACAAATGATTTTTGTTTGTATAAAGGTTCTAAACTCATCTTTTAAATCATTGAATTTGTACAGCGATGTGTTGAGTCTAGTGTCGACATATTAACTGTTAGCTGTTGGCGATGTATTCTGAACGTCAGTGTTGTCTGACTGAACTCTCTCTGTCTTATTGGTGTTCCTCTCTGTCATGCATGTCCTCTTCAGTTAACGGTAATTCTACTCCGCATCCTCTCTTGCTCCGATGTTTTCATTTATATCCATGTGTATCTGAAGTAATTGGAAAAATCAGTTTCATTCATATGATAAAATCCATGTCCCAGAATGTATTAACCCCACCTCATCTCAGCACAGCTGTATTTGTGAGTGTGTAGCGTAACAGGAGGAGGAAGCACAGAGGGCAAATCCATTATTGGCTTCTTGAACAGCAGCAGCAGCTCATTACACACAGTCAGTACAAATGGTTATTGTCCATTTTTACAGTCAATTGGCGAAGAAAAACATTCACTTTAACTAATAGTTACAGTTGTACTGATGTTTTTAAAATAATCAGCTAATTGAAGATAAATTGTAACACAGGACAATTTACACTAAGATCTTGGCATTTCTTGTTGGATAAAACATCAGTTCGTTCTTTGGTCTGGAGCAAATCCAGCCACATGAATAAAAAAAATACTATTTTAAGTTGTAATTCAAAATCTTTAACATGTCAAGTGTAGTTCTGCACCCAGATGCTTGATGTTAAGCAAAAGGGTTGTGGAAAATATTTCAGCGAGTATCAGTATTAATCTGGACATTTGGTAAGTAATTCCACCTCCAGAGAACCAAGGGTGATCATTTGCCTGACCCTGCTGCCTAGTAGAAGACTGTCATGTCTCTATTTATTTTTGACTAACGGTCGTGGTTGAAGCTTCTCATTTGGCACATGGTAATACCTAGCCTCACTTAAGGTAGATGTACAGTACAAACAAAATGGAGAGGCAGTGGCTCAGCTCTGAGCTCTGCAGTGTGCTAACCCCCCACCCACCACCACCACTGGTCCCAGTTACACCATCGCTTACACCATGACCTGAAATGGTTGGGTAATATCAGATGATTAGTTGGTTAGTTTGCCTGCCTGTCACCATTACATCAAGTTTCATGCATCTTTAGTGAAGGGAACCAGTTTATAAGAGCCACAGCACAGTTTGT